GTTTTTTTCTTCTCCTCGCAGCCGGGATGGATTCAGCATCGAGAGGGTGGGAGATGGAGCAACGCTTGTCGCTGTGTCACATTCCCCACCCGGGTGGGAACGGGGAGATAAGCTCTTTGCTGGTGGGGTTTGGGTGTGATGTGATGTGGTGGGATGTCTGGGAGCTCAGGGGTGGCTTATGAGGATCTCCTGGGGTTGGGAAGATCTCTGGGATGCACAGCACATACCATCCGTACTTGGGCATCAAGAGTCCAGCAGTGCCTCCTCCCTGGTCCCACCACCATCGATATGGACATTGAAGCTACTCCAGGCATGGCCATTGGAGAGATGGTGTCACCCAATCATCCCTGTGAGGGATCTCCTGGTGTCAGGACCTCTTGTCTGGACCCTGCCCTTCGCTCAAGGGATTCAGGGTCAGCAGACCCCAAAACTGCTTCAGCCAGAGCTCAATATTTGGCCGAATGCTTCACCCATAGCGAAAAGGCAACAGAAACCAGATCAGCTCCTCTTCAACTCTGAAAGTCAGACCTCCTCCATCACCACTGCAGAACCCCATGGCTCGGGGACCCATCTTCCACAGAGAGAAGCTCCTCCACCCAGGAAGCCAAAGATGAGGCTAGGAAGCTCACAAAGAGGTGGCCCAAGCAACCAGGAGAAGGTCCTGGCTTGTCCTTGCTCCACACTGAGAGCTGGAGATCATCTATTTACCCACTAAATTGAGCAGGAAGGCAGAAGTCCTCCATCCCCAACCATCTCTTGGCGCAGGGCTTGCTCCCTGGTCCAATCCACCTGGTCCAGGTCAATATTGGAATCGTTCAGCGCCAGTCGGAGGCAATGCTGGAACCTGCTGTGGAAACTAGAAGGGCTGGTGTAGGGTCTGGAGCCGTCCCGCCAAGCCCAGCTGTGGAGGGGAGCTGGTAAAAAGGGACAATTGTGAACTTCCAGCAGCTACAACTGGTTTTCCTCCTTTTGGGAATCCTGAAGGATGCCCAGGGTGGGAGGGAAGGATGAAGAAGGGTCCTTAGGACAGAAGGGACCACCTCGCTTGCAGGAGAAAAGAAACAAACTCAATTATTTTCAGCAATAATCTACGGAGGTTTTTGCCCAGAGGGTTTGTAGAGGCACAACCGCGTTCCTGCAGGGAAGCGGATCAGGGAGCATCTCCAGCAGCACCCGGAGAAGCCCCGGCTCTCCATCCCGCAGCACTGCTCCTTCCATCCACCCCATACCCACAAGATTTTACAAGAAGCCCCCAACAAACCCCCTCTTCGGGGGGAGCTGGGAGGCCTGGGGAGATGCAAATCACACCAGAAAGACTTCTGGAGGCATCCGAGTGATAAAAACTCGTTGGCACGTAGAGTAGAGCAGGTAATTCCCAACTTCTAGGCACAGCGTTGGGAGCAGATGAATGGAGCATTGAGCCCTGGGGTGGGAGACAGCGACGTGGGTATTTACAGAAGCCACGTGTGTGTTTGTGAGGAATGTCAAGAGACGCTAATAACTGGCTCTTTAGAAAGATCGGGCAAAAAAATCTCACTCATGTCTAGGAATAAGGATACAGGAAAGAGGAAAAAAAGTCAATATGACCTGAAAATCCCCAGACTGGGCCAGTCGGGCAGGCTGGGCAATATGATTTATTCTATTAATAAGCCAGAAAGAAGGGCAGGAATAAATGCTGAATGCATTTTTGGTGGCCGCAGAGGGTTGGGAGCTGCACGGCCGGGGAGGGGGTGTGAGCCTCTTCAGGGTACCAGCACAGAGCAGGCACAAGCCACCTTTGACGGGATCATTTTGGGAGCAAAGAGCCAAGGAAAACACGAGACTTGTTGATTTTGTTCCTGGGACATTGCAAGGGGCTCTTTCAGGCCAGAACTACTATTCAGAGCAGGGTGGCGAGGGGGTTGGAAGCTCCTTCCCAAGGGTGGGAAGGGACAAAGCCCTAAAGCAGGTCATTGGGACAGGATTTCCCATTCCCAACTCGCCAGTTCCAGAAATCAGCAAAATCAAAGGCGATAACACCCAGCGTGCGACTGTAAACACCTTTTAACTCCAGTTGGTAGCAGCTTTGTCTCCTTCCTCCATCAAATTGGGTTAAAAAACCTCCATATTGCAAGTGCTCGAGCCTGCTGAGAGTGATTTATTTTAACTAGAGGGTGAAAAACACAAAATAGCTTTTCTTGAGCAAGGGCTGCTCCCTCAGAGCGACGCTCCGGCTCCTGCTGCAGGGATACAGCTCGTTTTATTTAACAGTGAAACACGACACGTGCACCAAGAGAAAAGAGATGTTATTTTTTGGTTTGTTTGTTGTTTGTTTTTTTTTCCTCAGATCTTTACTTGCAGTAAAAGATAGAAAAAGGTAGTAAATGAACTCAGTATAAAACACACAGAGAGGAGAGGGATGGGGGTACAAACCAACCTACAAACAACACGACGTGGTAGGAACAAGGGGTGAAAGGGAGAAATTTTGTACAAAACTACTGCTTACAGGTAGAGAAAAATGTATAAAATATCCCTCCCTATCTGGAGACAAAAATACAAAAGTGAACATTATTTCATTTCTTGACTTATACTTTAAAAGTTTCTGTACACCAGAGAAAAGAAGCAGGTTCAGCGGCTTGGGGGAAGCTTGTCAAACACTCGCCACTTCCTCCCACATCGGACTTGAGAATAAATTAAAAGAGCTCAAAGCATCAGCACAACCTCACGCCAGAGCAACCAGGGAGCCCAGAGGAGTGTGGCGCTGGGGTTCAAGTGTTCAGAAGCATCGGGGTATCCCCAAAAATCCTATTTTTTTGGAAGGATTTAAGTGCTTCTGAATATTTTACTTCTTCCCCCTGCTCGCTGTGAGGGATGGGGACACAGCTCGTCCTCAAGGCTCCAGGGAGGCGCCCACTGAACGTACTCAGGGATACCTTTGGAAGCACTTCTCGACTTGACTACGGTGCTTTGCCTTCAAATGCAACCTTTGACCTTGTGTCAGCCTTTATCCCCAGGCAAAACATGTGCAAAATATCATGGAGAAAGAGAAGGAGCGATTCATTCCGCTCAGCTGGGGCCCTCCACACAAGGACAAAGGTGGCAAGAAGCCGTGGCCTCGGCTCCTATTGAGGAAGCAAAGCCAGGGCAGGGAAAATAAAAATAATAATAATAAAAAAAATCCAACGCACACGCAGACTTTGTTCTTTGTCACTCTGGGGAAAAGAAAAAAAAAAAAAAACAAAACCCAACACATTTGGAGATATCTCCAAAACAATTAAATGGTGCATCAGCTCTACTCAGTTTTGTACCTGAATTTCCGTAAACAGTTGATGCTCAAGAACTGGGAGATCAATTCCTTGGGAATTAAAATGCTTCTGCAAAAGCAGCATTTTAACAAAGAAGTTATTTTCAGAGATCTCCCAGCTCCTGCCTGCCACCCTCCAGGGATGCTCGACCTGCCTCCAGCCCCTGCCCCGCTCTCCGAAGCGCACAGCCAGGCTGCCCTAAGAACCAAGGTTATAATAATCTTAGGATTAGGGTAGAGTTTGTGATGGGTGAGAAAATGCTGGTTTTGGGGACAGAGGGGAGATAATACAGGAGCAGAGGACACATCAAAAATATTCCTCTACA